GATTTATAGATGGGTTCAAGGACTCAAACTTAACACCCTAGACAATTTTGGGATTTCATCTTCATGGCCATCTTCATGACTGGGTGTAGCAGAGAGGAAAGGACAGGTGATAAATGTAGACTTAGAGAAGGAAAGAAACTAGAAAAGTAATTGTGTCGATGAATGAGCATTTTCTTTCTGTTTCCCTTTACAGTTTTCCCCAGTTTACCTTTCAAGTACAATGGAATTTGTTCTAGAAGCAGGATGTAAATATAAACAAGTGCTCTTGTTTCATACATGGTCTTAAAATAATTTGCCTTGGTTGACCTTTTCAATACAATAGATGTTTTTCCTGGAAGTGAAGAATAAGGATGAAAAGGAATCATTTTGTGGTTTTTTCCCCCCTCATGCTGCCCTAAAATGTGTTTGAACTCGTGATTGTGATGTAATTTGCCATTGCCACTTCATGCTTTCTGAGTAGTGTTTTTATGGATTCAAAAGACTGCTTTCCCATATTTACAGGTAACCTTGCTCTCCATACAAAGTCATTGTTTCATAAGAATAGCTTTAGAGTGTCTTTCTCTCTGTTTCTCCCTAAGAATTGCATTCCTCCTCAGTTCAAAATATTGCTTTTCTGTTTTTTTCAATGAAGGTTTATTTGCAAGAGAAGAATGTGGATTTTAAAAATCTATGTACTCTACTGCAGTTACCATGATCCATAAGAGAAGAGGGAGATGTGCTTCAAAATGCAGAAAGATGACCTTTGCTAGATAAAAATGTGTTTTGGCCAATGATTCCAAAATGATTTATTAGCAAAACAAAAGGCAGTTATGACTGAATGATGTATCTCGCTTTTCTTTTGTGAATTTCTTTGGATATATCTCGGTTTTTGCTCTTTTTAGCTTCTTTATCACCTGTGCTTCCCTACCTTGGTGAGCATCAATTCACTATAGGTTTCATATCATGAACTCACAAACTAGTTTCCAACAGACCTTACAGCCTCTGAGGATGCCTGCCATAGATGCGGGTGAAACATCAGGAGAGAATGCTTGAACAATTGCCCGTATGATACACTTAAATTTCAATTCATGGAAGATAACTAGGTGATTGGTGTACTCAGTTTTTAAGCCCTTCCTCTCCAATTTTGGACTATGGCTTGCTGGATCTTCTCTATGAATTCTTGTTTTGATTGCATGAACCTGTTTTAATTCCTAATCACTTGGAATCAAACTAGTATGTTATACCTGTGATTTTCACCAGTCCAGTGATTTTTGGTCTCATTTTTTAAATATATATATATTATTGTTTTATAGCAGTGGTTCTCAACCTTCCTAAGGGTGCGACCCCTTAATACAGTTCCTCATGTTGTGATGACCCCCAACCCTAAAATTATTTTCGTTGCTACTTCATAACTGGAATTTTGCTGCTGTTATGAATCGTCATGTAAATATCTGATAGGCAGGATGTATTTTCATTCTCTGGACCTTGGGAGTTGTAGTTGCTGGGATTTATAGTTCACCTACAATCAAAGAGCATTCTGAACTCCACTAGAGATTGAATTGACCCAAACTTGGCACACAGAATGCAAAAAATAATGAAAGGGGTAGGTGAGCATTGGCCTTGAGCTTGGGAGTTGTAGTTCACCTATCTCCAGAAAGCACTGTGGACTCAAACAATGATAGATCTAGACTAAACTTGGCATAAATACTCAATATGCCCAAATGTGAACACTGTTGGAGTTTGGGGAAAATAGACCTTGACATTTGGAAGTTGTAGTTGCTGGGATTTATAGTTCACCAACAATCAGAGAGCATTCTGAACCCCACCAATGATAGAATTGGGCCAGATTTCCCACACAGAACTCCCATGACCAGCAGAAAATACTGCATATCCTGATGGTCTTTGGTGACCCCTCCAACACCCCCTCGTGACCCCCCCAGGGGTCCCGACCCCCAGGTTGAGAAACACTGTTTTATAGTGTATATAGGAAACAAACAAACAAACAAACAAAAAAGAACAAATATTTACAAAAGGGTGTAAATTCAGTGCTCGTTAAACATATGAAAAATCAGACTTGGCTGTACAGTTAATTATACCTTAACATTTCTTAACCCTCTATCCCCACCCATGAACCCCACCCCATAACCTCTGAAGCCCCTCAAAAAAGGATCACACAACTAACCACCAACTACCCATATATCTTCTTTCACTGAATCCCCTTTATAGCAATCTTCAAGTTTACCTTTGTCTTCTTTTACAGATATCCAAGTGCCAGCCTCCATTTGTTTGCAAATTATTCCCTCCTCTGCTTCTATTTGTCAGCTTGCCCATTTGGATATAATCTACTAATTTATCTCTCCAATATTTAATAGATAGCACTTTTTCCCCTTTCCAAGTTTTGGCTATTATTAGTCTTGTAGCAACAAAGCAGTATTGACAAATTTCTTCATCTCCTGCACTGATACACCTTCTAAATAGTCCTAATATGCACATTTCCATTTTTTTTACCTTTTTGTTAATCATATTGTTTGTTTTTTTACCACTTTTTTTCCAAAATTCTTGAACTATATTACAAGTCCATCATACATGGAAAAATGATCCCTTCACCTTCTTACATCTCCAGCAAATCCTGTTTTCTCTATTTTAGCCAATAATTCTGGAGTTATGTAAGCTCTATGAAACATTTGAAACATATTTTCTCTAACTGAGCTGGTCACTGATTTTTTTAAAGTTTTCATTGTGTCTAAAATTTAATAATTGTAAATCGAAGCTTAGCTTGAATGTTACTGGGGGAAGCTTATTTGTGTTTTTTTAAATATAATTTTATTGTGAACAAGTTTTTACATAGAAAGTGGGTGAACAATACATTAATAGGATAGTAGGAAAAGACAAAGAAGGGGAGAAGAAGGGAAGAAGAGGAATATATATATATATATATATATATATATATATATATATATATATATATATATATATATATATATATATATCTCACTGGGGGAAGCTTATTTATTTATTTATTTATTTATTTATTTATTTATTTATTTTAATGTCTTTTTCTCCAAGAAGGTATCAAAGACAGCTCACTCTTTAATCAGGAATAAAATGCTCTGAGATGGGCAGGCCTTTTACTCTAACATCACCATTCTTGTGGTGACAAATGACCTTGTCACGTGGCCACCGTGTCTCCTGTCCCCTTGGGAGTAAGGACATTGGGAGGGAGAGCAGAAGAGCCCATGAAGAGAAGTGGAGTCTGATTTAGCTGCACTCACTCATGTGATACATAAGAAAACAGACAATTTCAGGAGTAAAGGCAAGAAACAACACTGTGTGATCAGTACTGATAAATGATACGATTTGCTTTTCAACACAGTGGGACTGAAGGCTACGGTAATATGATGTTCCTCCTTTCCCCTCATGGGATGAGGTCTTAAGAACACAGTGATCACTCACAGGCATGCACTACCAATAGGATCCAAAGCAACTCCAAAAAGGAAAAGAAGTCAGGTCAAGCTGATTTTAATGTAAAAGCAATCATTTCTTCAAGACCTCACAACCTCTGAGGATGCTTGCCATAGATGCAGGCGAAACGTCAGGAGAAATGCCTCTAGAACATGGCTCTATAGCCCGAAAAAGCCCACAAGAACCTAGTGATTCCAGCCATGAAAGCCTTCAACAATACAATCATTTCTTCGTTAAGAAGTCAGAAAAAGATAGTACAAACTTGACAGAATGGATTGTGTTCAACACAAGCTCTCTCTTAAAAGAAAAAGATGGGTGCTGATAACCTACTCCTGACCATCTAAGGAGGCTATGCATGGTACAGTTAAACTTAAACGGCTTCAGACTAACACACACATGA